TTTATTTTTCCTTTTAATGTGTTTGTCGTTTTCTGTGTGAGGATTTCGCCTTCTGGATAGTACTTTCAATATATGGAGAGAGAGAAACAACTTTGCTGATTGGATTTAAATCTCGTACAAATGTAAAAAAAATCTGTAATTAATCCTATTTTGATTATGTTTCACACGGATTGTATTTATGTAAATATATCTACACTAGAGGTTATCTATGTATTTTTCCCACATCCTAATGCAACTGTGGAAAACATTCTAAGAAGCTCACCAGACCACAGCATGCCGTTCATAAACACAAATGCCACACCTCAGAAAATGAAAAGTAGATTCACCTTTGACAAGAAATGGATTTCTAAGGGTGTCCATGATGTGATAAAAAATGTATGGAGCCAATGTGAAGGCACACCAATGTTCAGAGTGAAGGATGGTGGTGCCGTGTTCGAAAACAAGTCTTTCCGGAGACGTTGCTTACATTTTTCGTATTTGTCCCTAATTACCCTTATTTTCTTTGACTTTCTTAAACGTGTACCATTTTGATTCAAAACATGTAATATCCCGTCAGTTTCAGTATAAATTATATTTTTAGTTCCGATATTAATTTTTGGAATTAATTATTTTCAGTCAGTTCAGTCGAAATTACCGGAAATTATTTTCGACGTACCATTTACGTTCGGAATAATTTTGGTAATTAAGCATTATGTTTAATTGAATAATTAAACATAATCAAGTGATTAATTTATAATTAATCACGAGATTAGCACTAAAACCGTTCGTATTTTTTTTTTCCAAATTCTTCTCCAAATAAGGCCGCATGTTTAAGTGGGGAAAAATTTGCAAATTCATGCAAAAAGCCGTGCATGATTTATTCCAAGTTTGGAGAAACTCTATCTTATTTTTAAGTAAGCAAAACGTGTCATTATGTGGCTAAATAAGGGGCTTAGTCATCTAAGAGTTATTTGAGGTGATCCAAGTGTCATTAGCTTATGAAATTTTCAAATCAAGTCATCAAGCACCTCACTTCTTTCGATGGTATAAGTAGAGAGGAGTTTGGGAATTTCTACATCTTTTCCCACATAAATATTCATCAAAAGCTTACCGTAAGTACTCTTCAAGGTTCAGCCATCATATTTATATATAACAAAGTGAAAGAGAGAGTTAGTTGTGAGAAATCCTAAGAGATTGTCCGCAAGCTATCGTTCGACCGAGCTAACGCACGCAAGTAGCAAGGAGTCCTCCGCACCGCGAGCTAGTCAGCAACCCCGCGCGTAGTCGCAGTACCGCACGACAGTCAGTACACACGCACGATTAATCGCACACGATCGCATAACACGACGACGCCACGCACGCGGAGAGCCACGCGAACACGGGAGTCCGAAGTGTTGCCGTTAGTCGAACATAATCGGAGGTAAACTTATAGGCTAAGTTTAATACGATTGTTAAGTTCGATTTTCAGTTAGGCGTGCATGCGTGTTATGTGTGGTAAAGGCCGTGCGAGAGGCCGTGCCGATCATGTCATGTTTTAAGTTAAAAATTCTCCGAGCAATCCTCGCATATCTAGCCTTTATATGCAATATCATGATCAGATTAGTTTATGTGTTCGGAGGATTATTTACGTTTTGAGGTGTTTGGCCGAGAGGACGTGGTTGCGCATATAGCGCACCACGGGTCGTGCATGTGTGTTCAATATGTTTAGCTCAAATCATTTCAGTATATCATGTTATCTCGTTCAGTATATCAGGTTTAAATTCAGTTGCTTGTGTTTGGCCGAAAAGAATTGATGTTCGGTCGTAAAACGGCACAACACCGTCGGCGGCGCACGGTGCGTCCGCCGCGGCCAAAGTTCAGTCCGTTGAGCAAATTTTTATGTCTTCAGTAATAAATCAACTCATATGACATGACATGTTATTTGAGGCCAGTTTGTTCGAAAGTTATTGTCGGACGGCCGGCAAGGGCCGGCCGTGGTCGCGCTGTCCGCACGCAGCGGCAGCAACGCG